TAAATCAAATGTAGACATGATTTATCTGTGTCAGCCTATCTCAACATATCATAAATTGGATCAGCGAAAGCCAAAATGTAGTCTACATTATCCCACCACAAATCATCTAAGACCTTTTCTTTAACATACTTTGCCTTCCCAACATCATCTTCTCGATAGCAAGACCACTTCTCACAAATCACCATAGATTGAAGAGCATTTTTAATTTGTTTGAATCTTCTCAACATAATTATTACAGAGGCAAAACGAGTTTCAGCAACAGCTAGCATTTTCAAGTGGGAGAAATCATTAAACATTGAAAGTCTCATAGAATGGTTCATAATAAAATTTCTGATCAGAACAGCATCATCTGCAACCACTGTTATCCAATGGCATTCAGCATAGATGATTTCATTAGCCTCTGTATTCTTTGCTGCACAAATATTTTTTAGAGCAAGATTTAGAGTGTGCACAACACAGGGTGTCCAAAATATATGGGGATAAGTTTGCTCCACCAATAATCCTGCAGCTCTACACACCGGTGCATTATCTGTAATAACCTGCACAACATTTGAAGGCCCAATCATGACTATCACCTCTTTAATCAAATTGGCAATAAAATGTTTATCCTTGTATTCTCCTTCACAATTCACTGCTTTAATGAACATTGGGTAATTCTCTGTAACAGCCATGAAATTAATAAGGGGTCTTCTTTGAGGATCTGTCCAACCATCACACACCAAACTAACACCTTTTTCTTTCCACACTCCTTTTGTTGGTTCAAGCAATGTCTCAATATGTGCTCTTTCTCTTTCTAATAATTTCGATCTTAATGCATTGTAGCCAGGTGGAACATATCCTGCGAGGTTGTTGTTACATGCAAAAATGAATGTATTTTTATATTGAGGATTCCTTGCAAGGTTGAAAGGAAGTCCCGCTGAAAAAAACATCCTTGCTATTTCACCATCCAATTCCTCTCGCTGCTGCAAATTAAAAGCCTTCTCTAGAGGACTACTGGCTACTCCTTTTCTTTTCATTGTTTTATATCCTTCACTTTTAAATGATAAAGCTTGATCAACTCTCACAGATGAGGAAGAAGTGTTAGATGAGCCATGACTAGATGGCAAATGTACCTCTTTAGGGATGTTCTTTGGATCCTAGATTCAGCTTCATCAATTTGTCTGTTCAATTCAATCAACTGTGACGTAGTAATC